AATTGGATTAGTACATAATACTAATTTTCAATATCGAAAACGACCGGGTCAAATTGTAACTCATTCTTAGTCCTTAATCTTAGCTTTAGCCGACAACCACCTTGAAATAATTTCAGACGCTTTCCTTAAAACTGTTAAAATATTTAAGTCACGATGCATATACTATTGCCATTTAACCAACACAAAAATATGCACACAGGATACAAAGTTCAAATGGTTGGAATGTTAATGTTCAGTAGAAAGGGCACTTCACTTGGAGGTGGTCTTGTCAGTCTCACTCTCCTCACGCTCCTGCTCCTCTTTAATCTCCAGCTTAATCCTCTTCATCTTCGTTTGATGATCCGCATTCTCATTAGGCTCTTCCTCATTCTTCCCATTGTAGTGCGTCTTCACGTGTTTACTCAGATGATCGTTTCTCAGGAAGCGTTTCTGACATACCGGACAAACGATATTCTTCTCTCCTGCGTGTGTTCTCAAATGACGCTGCAATTCATCGGATCGCGGAAATCGCTTTCCACATAATAGCCAGTTGCACACAAATGGCCTCTCTCCAGTGTGCCATCGTAAATGAGCTTTTAGATGACTTGTTTTGCTGTACACCTTTCCACAGCCCGGCACGTGACAGCTATGTGTATTACTACTACGCCTCAAATCTGCCGCCAATTCTGGATTTGAGGCCGCTAGTCTGTCAATCTGTTGGCAGTTAGGACAGTCACAATTACTCCGAGCCCCCGCATATCGTCTATTGGTTGGAATCATTGGTCTAGTAGAGTTTGGAGTAAGTGAACATGGCTCGTAATGTTTTGCAGCTTCGGCTGCAGCGAAAAAGTAGTTTGCTGCGTAGACTGGATCCTTTGTGGGGTCAAGAGAGGCTGGTATCTGTTGATGGTAGTTATGATACGGGCTAATTAAGCTAGACATCCAAGTGGGTTCAAGGAGGGGTAAATACCGACCTTGTTGATTTTCATAGGAGTAGCTCTGGTTAACAGAAGTCGAGAAGTCATTTGACCATTGTTGGTTAGGAGATGAAGATGTGGAATGGTCTTGAGGAGCAGCAATAGCCGCAAATGCTGCTGCCGCCCTTGCGACTGCTGAGCAATCAGCAGGAGGGAGTGGTGGCACTTGGCAATTATCGTTGGGAGGCTGTAGAAATCGGTAAATGGATTGAGGATATGGAGTGTTTAGATCAGCAAAGGGGGGAGAAGACGAGGGGACACTGGCCATTGAAGTTCCGTTTTCATCACCCTGTAGACCTATGCTGAGGCAGTGCGCTTCTAGCATGCTGAGAGAATTAGAGGAGAGATTCTCTGGTGAGTTATCCTCCTAAAGTAAAAAGGGTCCGAGTCATACAATTTAAGAAATCTACTTAAGGAGATAGTGGTAAGCAAGTTCTTTGGAATTATAATAACAAATTTAAATTTTAGAAATTGCTAGTATTTGCTGATTAGGGTATCATTTTGTTAGATAGTAGCCGCCTTGTTCCTGCAAGCACAAATTACATTGTTTCGCTTTATAACCCCCTTTCTCTGCAGAAAGAAACGCACCTGGCATCGTGATGGAAGTAAAAAACGAATGGACCTTCTTTCTATGGTACAGGCAACCATATGTTCGTCTTCTCTTCTCCTTCTCTCCTTCCCCTCCCACGTCCCCTTTACCTAAAGTGTGAATTTACGAGTCTGCATCACCCCTCGTGAGTAAGGAAAGATAATTAATTCCTCCCCCTTCCGCCTTTCTAAAAGGGGCTTCCAAACTGCGGGTTGCAGTCTACACATTTTTTGATAAACAATGGTGCTAGCTGTGACAATGATGATGCTTTCCTGACATTGATGCTTCTGATATTGAGGTAATAATGGCAATAATTGTCGGGCGGCTGAGAAAATTATACCACTCTAACCAGGCAGGTAGCTAATCTCACCATTTCTGCCTTGGGTTTAAGGAGTGGCTGGCTATGTGGCTAGATAAAGGACACCTATTATTAAAGCGCCGCTGTGGAATTAAATTCGCCCATTTTTGGGGTGGGTGAAACCTGTGTTCAGATAAGGTCAGGTTTGGAATTTTAGGCAGAGGTATGTTGACCTTCAAAGACCGATTTTCGCAAAATGTCTTAACAACAGCTTTAAGGTACAGAGTGGGGTGGAAGTCGATTAAACAACGTAAAAAATGAATAACTTTATTTTTGTAAATAAGGGAATATAATGTAAAGAAACAAGACTTGTATCACAAGGGTCAGCTAAACGCCAATTTAGTGTTAGTATGAAAGATAAATTGTGGACTGAATTATATAGTGCTCAATTATTGGGCTTAGTAAACCTCTTCCATGACAAAATCTAGGGGAAAAAATCTATGTGTGATCAGTTAGAGATTTAAGTTGCTATTCAAGCGTTTTGGCAAAACTCAAATTCTATTTCCTAAGAGGAACTAAAAATTTTACCATTTCGTACCAGGATAAAGGAAATAACGTTAACGATATCTCATTGCGGTACCAAAACACACTTTGATTGTAGAAACCCGAATTCCAGATGCATGAAATGGTGTATCGAGATGGTGGAAAAGTTGTAAAACAGAGCTTTGACAAGGAAAAATTACCGTCGCAACAACAGCTCTTTCTCTAAATAAATCGTTTTCAAATAAAATTCGGTCATCTTAAATCTTTCAATAATCCCAATGTCTGATAAAAGGTGCATGCTCTTTCAGTAATGCCACTTAGACATCAAGAGATACGATTTTTCGAGTCTTCGATCATTCAACCCTTTAAAGTATAAAAAACGACCTTCTTGTCGAGCTAAAATGAGTGTATCAAAGCTATCATTCTTTCAGCAAAGACGTAAAACTTTGAAAAAGACAAGGAAATGTTTTTAAATGAGTAATTATATTCAAGGTGTCTAAGTCGAACTGCTCTAACCAAAATGCTTATTAAAAAATACAGTTTATTATCCATCATGATTATAGTGACATGCGGAGCTTACGATAGACATTGTGACTCTGCACTGGAATCAACCCGCTAAGAAGCGAGCCCACGAGTATTGTCAATTACGATAAGGTACCATTTCTTATTCAGTGCTTCAGGTTACGCATGCTAAGTTAAACCAATCAGCTTTGGCGCACTGACTCTTCTTAGCCAATTAGCGTTCGAGCCGTCGTAGAATGTATGTCCAATCATTAATTCACGTAAGCTACCCAATCGAATTCGCCTGCGAGTATGAGGTGTGTGATGCTAATTTTGCCATCTGTACTAAAAATTTGAATCAAAAACACATTTCCATTAAGATATTTAGGCGTGAATTATTAGCCATAACTTGCAAACCAATTGGATTCTTTGGTTCGTCCTTGTTACATTGATGTTTGCAC